TCTATCCTGAAGGGAAATATACATACTGCAGGGCAGGTATACTCTGCGGCACACTTAGCAGTCCCAGTTTCCACCTATTCAGCCTGTCCACAGGCTGACTCCCTGCTAAGAAGACATCTGCATGCATCTCATCCCCTTGCAACCTCGGCTTCCTCCAGAGAAAAACCCAAGTGTATGAGCAGAGAGGGGGCAACAGGGGGCTTTTGTGGGACTCCAGGAATGCTACAAAGCACATCTACCCAATAAATTACCAAGCAATGTCTACCAGGATAGACGTGGTCACTTCGTCTTACTTCAGCTTCAGGCTTCACATGCTTCTTTAACTATGCCATAGAAAGTTCTCTCTGTCACAAAAATATTCCCTGGTTAAGCAGAGACTCATTCACTCACTCTATGATTCTACACAATTTTTCTTCAGACTCATAGAACATAGCAAAATTGCTGGCATTCTTGTGGCTCTTTTCTGAAATATTTTCAATTTATTAACATATTGCTAAAGGTATTATTAATGAAATCAAGTACAATGTGGGAAAAATGACCTTTATAGTGCTGCACATAGTCACATTGATTCCTACTTTTAATGGATACACTGCTACTCACTCCAAGATGGTGTCACCTCTGCTAGCTGGAGCTTTTTACTAAATGTTCATATCCATTTGGCAATGTGCTACTGCTCCAACATCTTTTCCAACTCCCTGATTTCCAGGATATGGTAAGCAAGATCTGTATTTTTATTGAACTCAGCTCCCTCTGTTGGACTGCAGCACATCTGTATCCCAAACTATAAAAATTACCTTTGAAGCACACCTTCAGTTACATAAACTGGTAGAAAATCATGCCAAAGATAAGCTTGACAAAATGAAAAATAGCCTTCATTAAATGCATGTAACTACATTAGGAGCCTTTTAATAAGAAGAGTTTCTCCAACCCTTTAATGAATATGAGAAAACCCTTGCTACTAACTACAATTAAGGATGGTTTTGTACATAGATGTGTACTGGCATAGACCATTCTCACAGGAAGCAGCAAGAGCTAATTCTAAGGAAGAAAAAGCAGCTAATAAGTCAACATTAATCTCTGAAGGAAAAATCAACTTGAAAAACAATATACTTAACATTTTTGGTAACTTTGAATTTATTGCACTATTTATGCAGCTGAAAGCAACATAAACTGCATGAGGAAAGAATAGAAACATGAGTTTTGTAAAATTCTCAGGGGACAATACTGCAAATATCACCATAAAAAGATTTTCAGTCCAACACTTTTTGAATCTCATGTATTTTCTCTGACAACCCCAGAATGGATTAAATCGGATACTCTGTATGCTTACTATATGTTTGATATGATCTGTTAAGAGACAAAACACTGGAGGTCTTCCAGAACATTTTTAATATTTTCAGGAAAAAAAAATCTGAATTCTTTCCCTTTGGACCATTAGAGGAAAACTTTATAACGTATTTTCTACCCGGGACACTATCCTGCTTTTTCTAATGATGGAGGAATTTACAACACAAATTAAAAAAACAAATTGACTTATAAAAGCAGCAGAAAGGAATTAGCTTTTGGTTATATCAAAAGGTAAATCCTTGAAAGATCATTATTCTCTAAAAGAAATATGATTCTAGGTCTCCTTAACTGATAGCCTTATGGCATAATTCATACAAGGAAAAGATAGAAATGAATGTGGTGTCTTTTTCCATTGAAAGGCTTGAAAGACAGGACAAAAAAATAAAAGGCTGAGGTGCCATATTCCTCCTTGAATGCACAGCTGTAAAGAAAAAAATGAGCAAGGAAAGGAGAATACTCTATAGCACTGTAGACAATGTATATTATAATACACAGTATAAAATTCTTATTATCTTTATTAAAACCATTCATAAGAAATGTCAAAATCTTTTTACCACAGTAGATTTACCCAGCAAACAAGCAAATCTTGCCAATTCTCTTCCAAGTTTCATTTATTTAAAGTTTCTGAGATTTGAATATGAAATGATCCATTCCCCAGTACATCTCAGATTCTCAAATTCCGCGTGTGACATCAAATGTGAGACCATAATGACAGCCATGAGGATCCTGGTAAAGCTAACTATGCAGAAACTGAATGCTGCTGGGGTTCACAGGTTTTAATTTTTATGAACTTGGACCTGTGGAGCTAGTTCAGCTTGTCTGTAAGTACTTTATGTATCACTGCCAAGACGAGCAGAGAGTGCAAGACATTGCAACAGACCTAACTAAAAGAAAACTAAAAAAGAAGCATTATATACATGTTTAAAATAAACATTAAAAGATGTTTACATATTAAGGTAAAAGTTGAATTGAGATGTCTTAAAAATCACTTGAAAGGTGAAGCCATTGGCAAGAGGAAAACCAAATGGTGAGTGGAACAGAACTTGGGAATATTGGTAGTGATTAATTATGAATTGACATCAATATAATCTACAGAGAATATCAAGTGTTTCCAGCAGCAGACAATCCATGTCAGTGCTCTCAGCTTCTTTTAAGCTAATAAGATGTCTTAGACATCACCTCCTGGGAAGGGTATCAAATGGTAGATGAATACAGAAAACATTTGTCCTTAATTGCAAGTTATGAGAGCAAGGATCATGAAAACATATGTGAAAGAAAAGAGTGGTGAGATTCTTGAGGTTTATAAACTAAAAATGTTAAAATGAAAGCAGTGAATGAATGGCTGATGTGCATGCTATAGGAATATCATGACTGTTGTTGACTTGATGGCTGATGTTCTGACGAGTCCTGACAGGACATACTGCTACATATTGGCATATGTCAAACATGTAAACTATCTTCAATCACTGTTACTTTTTTTTTTTTCTGCATATTACGAACACCCAGGAGTCCAATGGTAGAAGGAGAAGAGAATTGGCCTATCCTTAACTGGGTGAGCTAACAAAATTGAGCACTGCCAAGGGAAATTACCTGAATACTCAGTAAGATAGTACCTTCAGCTAGGCCAGAGCAGTGCACAATCCAAAGGAGAGAAATGGAGAGCAGACTCAATACCTGAGGTCTCTGAGGTGCTTTGAGAGGAAAGCTGACAAGTTTGAACTACTTTAACTTCGGTAAATTTTAAATTTCCTAGCTCAGTTGAAGAAACCAGCAGTACAAAATTGGTATGTTAAAAGGCAGGAAAATAAACTGATCAAACTGTAGAGATAAAACAATGCAGTAAAGACTCTGAATCAAAGGATCAAAAAAAATACATTCTATTTCAATCAAGTTAAAGTGGCTAAATGTGACACCGTAGCACTGAGCACACACTTGACGTATGACTATGTACAGGAGTGTTTGAAGCACCTGGTTTGAGCCCCAGAGCACCTAAGACATGATCTTTGGCGCAGCTGAGCTGAGAGACGTGCTTACGGGAGAAGGAAGACGGATACAAAGAGATTCCCACAGGTACTGCTGTGGTGAGAGTATGCATTGACCATGCTTCCCTCATAACTGTAGCAGAGCTAGAGATGAAATCCAGAATTGCTATGCCACATAAAAATTGACCTATCAACAGGGACCATACACAGATGTTGTCACTTTGGAGATGCAAACATTGCTAGAGTGAATAATTTTCTCTGCAGTTTGGCTTTCTCTCATGGAAATGAAGCTGGATAGACATCACAGTGGTGGGTCCCTAAGCAATCCTAGACGGTCACCAACACTTACATAATCTTGGGAAATCATATCATTTTTCCGTGCTTTTGTCTCTTCTTGTTTGTCTTGTCTGTCTGGACTGGCAGGTTTTAATGTGATTAAAGTAGAGAGTGATTATCTCTCAATCTGCATGTGTAATATTAGAGTTCCACGCTGGAGTTCCCAACGTTCTCAGCCGAGGCCACTAGGTGCTGCTGTAATATGAGTAATTAAAATAATAACTATTATTACGGAAAGTGTATATATTCTTGCTATGGACTGTTTCAAAAAGCCTGAAAAACAGAGAAAAAACTTATTCTCAGGTCGCATATTTTTTGAAAAGAACTGAAAGACCCAATTATTCACTTCACTGGTACTCAAAATTTTTTGTTTTATTTTTCGCAACTTTGCAGGAGAAATCTGCAAATACCTTCCCCCTTTAAAAAATGCATTGGATAAATGCAAATTTTCTTCTACTCCATTTCCATTTTTAAGCCTCGCTTCAGCAGCTTGCTATTATGCAAGCTCATCCAAAACATTACACTCCAAAATCCCTGCCAGCTACACATTTGTGCACCTTATTCACGTACTATTTGGATGTGAACAGAAAGGCAAAGTCCTCAGCATGAGGGAGCATGACTGGAACTGCAAGTGATTCAGTAAATGCATGGTGACGTTACTGAGGCTCAGATTTTGTACCTGCTAGTTCCACAGCTTTCTAAGGAAGATTTATCTTATTAAATGTAGTTGACTAGCCATAAACACAATAAAAGATTAATAAGACTCCATATGAATCATAGTCACAAAATGCTTCTTGCCTGAGAGTATTAAAATGTCTTTAAGCAGCAGCCAGCTATAGCTCAAAGAGCTGTATGACTAAAGTGCTATTTCTGAAAGTCTTGGAGTCAGTGCATCTAACTGGACTTTACAGTGGACAATTCAAAAGGTTATTTATATTCAGAAATTATTTGGCAAGTCTTGTTCATCTACCCAGTTTTCCAGCCACAAAGACTCCACTTAATAATTTGTTATTGGATTTACTGGCCTTAAAAATTGAGTTAAATGAATTTATCTAGATCATCAGAATAGGTCTGCTAAAGTAGTTCTGGATTAATTAGAAGTGATGAAGTTTTGCTACTGAGCTACTTCAAGACCCAAAGTTAGTAAGCAGAGAAATAAAGTGACAAACACTAAGCACATGTGGAAAAAAAAGTTCCAGGAACACTATATGAGAATCAGGACTTTATGGTAAACGTGGGACAGAATATACACAGTTTAAATAAATCAGTATTAAAAAGCATTTTAGGAAAGCACAGAGGTGCCAACACAGACTAAAAAATATATTTTATTCTTACCATTTGAGACTGGCTCCGGGGACAGCCATTGATATCTTCCACCTTTTCATTTGCTAGAAACAGTGAGGAGAAAATCAGAAGTAAACAATGAGATAAAACTTTCCTTTCCACCCCCTGGTCAAAAAAAAACCCCACAAGATAAAACAAAACTAAAAAGCAAAACTGAAAAACAAAACAAAACAAAACAAAAAAGCAGAAAAGACACAGCAATAAAGTGCACAGTTTTGTTGACACAGAGCTCCTTTCTAAGTAAAGCTCAGTCGTACAGTAACAACACTCTTGTTAGCAGCAGTTGCTTCCACATGCCAAATCATGCAAAGGGGGAAGTGCGAAGGAGGTCGCTGCTAATTCTTCAGCCCCTGCAAAATAACTGCTGACATGAAATCTTCCACAATTGTCTTTGCAGGGTCAGGATACAGTTTCAAGGCATCCCAGAAAGTATGAGCCACTCCAACTAACAAAATGCACACATGGGAGACATATGGTTTAATGGAGCATTCATTTCTGACAATTCAAAGTGTGTAAGATACAGTTCTGGCCATTTAAAGCATGGTTAAACAGCCACTTCCAAACATGCTCACATAAACATATTTTTTAATTAAGACAAGGATGAACCACACAAATATCAGAGACATATGGACCCAGTCAAATTGTATTATTCAGGGTTCATCTTATTGTTAAACACATTCAACTTGAATTATATATTCCCTCATGCAAGGAGTCAGCTCGCAGCGCTTCTCTCAGCCCTGGTCTTACCGATGATCTGGATGATTTCTGCTAGCAGAACTCCATCTGCAATGTCCTGTTGCAAATCCTTGATTAACCGCTTGTGGCCAGATTTTGCTAGGTAGTGGTTAGCCCAGTCAGTGTAAATCTGCAGAGCAGAGGGGGAGGGCAAGGGGGAGAGGGGGAAGAGAGAAAAGAAGACAATAAAAATCCTTAAAACAAATGTTGGCTTGCACTCGAGAACTAGCCTGGATCACATTCCCATTTAAGAAGTCGGCACCAAAGGAAATAATTTTAACGTTGTGTTTTTTGCCCCCTTTTTTTTTTTTTTTTTTTTTTTTTTTTAATGGTCATCCCCCTCCCCCTGCCATTCTCTGTTTTATTTTAACTTCAAATGATTCAGGCTGTTTCATGAGGGTTTAAACTTGCTGTGACCAAGCAAAATTCCCCTTATGACTGTAAAGGAAACTCCTGTCATAAATCAGTCACATCTACCGCAATTCCACCTCCCACCGTGTTTCTACCTCTACGCACGCCCCACTGCCAACTTTTACGCTCTGGGGCTCCCTAAGAGAAAGTGATAGCCGAGACGTGCGCCTGTGTTTTGATAAGAGTTCATCGGTCGCTGGTGATCCCGCGCCCGACGGTGCCTCTGTGACACTTTCCGCAGTAATCGCCACCTCCCACCGCGCAGGGACAGGGCGTCTGTCCCCTCGCCTACGGTTCGGCGTGCTGTAACGCGCACAGAGGAGACTGAGAGCACCAGATGTACAGTAGTCTCGGTGCTGGAATTAGAGCATATATTCTGGAAATACGCCGCGTCCTTTCTCAGCCAAAAGAGGAGGGGGAAAGGATGCGACTGAGCAGCATCAAATACTTAGCAACGGGCAGCACAAAAATAGCACTTATCAACAAAAGGTTGAAAAGGACCAGCTGAACCG